ACATATAGCGACATACAAAAATTGTCACTATAAATACAATATATGTAGGTATATATATATATATATATTTGACATATAGTTATATATAATTTTAGTGTTGATTTTAAATGAGATTTAACAATATATTTTATGTGTCACTATATCCTATACTCACACTTTTTAATAATATATCAATATATATTATATTTGTTGTGTAGGTAAAAATAATTCTTAATGATATGTATTGTGTCACTATAGGATATATGTCAGTATATGATAATTTCCTTGTAATAATTATGTGTTAAATAGATACAAAGATATATATGTCTCTCAACTTTGACATATTTAATTAGTTGAGTCTTGCATTCTTAAATATTAGATATGAATTTAGTTTGATTCTCAAATTTTATTTATTTAAACTTAAAATATATTTTTAATCTTTATAAAATGAGTGATTTTTAATTTTGGACTATCTAAAAATTTTACTTGTGTTTTATCTTTTCAAAATTTATAAACATTACTTTTTATTTTTGTAAAATAGTAAAATTAATTTTATTCCTTATAATATTTTATTTGATTTTGATTCCTTTATATTCTAAAGTCATTATTTTTAGTCCCCTAACTTATTTTAAAATATATAAATAACATTTGACTTAATTATCTATAATTTTTTTTTGGAGATGTTATATATTAACATAGTATTTCTAATATTGTAAGTTACACTTAAAGTGATTATTTAATCTTTTAATATACAAATAAGTGATCCAAAATGATTACATAATAATAGAGATTAAAAATGATAGTTTCAAATTTTAGAAGAATGAAAAAATGAAAGAAAAAATAAATTTTAGACCAAAATCAAAATATACTTATTTTACATTAAAAAATATATTAAATTTTTTGATTTATTGGTAAATAACATATATACTAACTCCAAGCGTGTGGTTCAGCGGTAGGGGTTAATCCACGCTTAAGCAAGGTCAGGAGTTTGAATCCTGTCTTGTGTATGCAGCCGCGTTAAATCTTGGGGCCAGCTATCCCACCTTTTGAGGTGCCTCCAACATAGCGAGGAGATTAATCACCGCTGATAGCGGTTATACTCTAAGGACGAACAAAAAAAAAACATATATACTAATACTTTAGTTTATGCAATGCACATATGTATTTATTATATATAATATAATTAAAATTTATAATAAATTTTATATAAAAATTTTATATTTAAATATATAAATTATATTTAAAATAAGTATATATAAATATTTTTAAACATATAAATTATATTTTATTAAAAATTAATTTATAAATAATTATGATAAATAAAAATTGAATTTGATAAAATATTTAAAAAATTTATACAGTCTCTGCCGTTACTATTTGTTTTTTTAAAAGCACCTTTCCTTGATCTAAATTTTCACGCACACCACGCTGAAAGGACTTGCAAACTATATATATATATATATATATATTAAATTATATATATATATTAGGGTTGCTTATAAGCAATTCCTCTACCATATCACTGCTACATTAGTTTGGTTCTATTTTATGAGTTGCTTAAATTTTAGTAGAGTTTCTTGTAGAAATAATTTTGCTAAAATTTAAGCAATTCATAAAGTAGGTTAGAACTGATTTAGCAAACTCTTTGAAGATGCTCTTACTGCTTACCGCTGAGTTTGACCACCCAACTCTTTGAAACAAAAGTATAAAATTTAATATTATCTCTCTCTAACTACGTTATCCCACTAAATTAACTGTATACAGCAAAAAATTCAAAAAAAAAAAAAGAAAAAGAAATACCAATGCCCTAAAAACACGTTTAGTAGTAAGAGAAATATTTTAATTTAGAAGAGACTATTTATATTTCAATAATACTTCATATCTTTTTCTCAAGAAACAAATTAAATTATATATGAAGTATAACAGCTACTAGCTTCAACGTTAAACTGCTCTTGCTGCAATGGGTATGATTCATTGAACCTGAAAAAGGCAACTTCAACGTACTTGCAGAAACAAGAAAATATAAACCATTATTGAAATAGAAAATGTAATTGAACTGGTCAATAGAAAAGATAAATTAACCATCGAAATAACAAAAAAGCAACCAACTTAAAAAGATAAAATTAGTTTAAATTATTAATTATTTAAATATATTTTTAGTCTAAGAAAAAATGTCTTAGTGTTGTAATTTCAAAACATATTATTATTTCCCATTATCAAAAATATATATATATATTTTTAATTTCTCATAGTCATCAATAACATAATTAACAATAATAAATTAAGATGATTATATAATATTTAATAATAAAAAAAACTAAGTGCAATATATTTAATAATTGTGAGTTTTATTTAAAGACTTTAAACATAGAGGTTAGAGACTAAAATGTTTTTTTCCCCTCAAATTACATAGGATAAAAAATCAGTTTTAATTATAACTTTATATTTAAGAAACTAAAAGCTAATATGAATTTAAATTTAAAATTAAAAATAAAAATTTTGAAGAGGAACTGATATTCAAAGTACGAAAAGAAAAGAAAAGACCTGAAAACTTCATCTATACACAGAAACATTAATTGACAATGAATGAATCCGTGAATGTTGGGGAAATTAAATAAAACTGGGAGGTGTGGCTGCAGATTTCATTGACTAGGGTGGTTCTATTATATTAATCCACTTGCAAAGGGTTGGTTCATGCATGTTTGATGATTATGTTATGCATGTGGTGAAATAAGAGAGGTAAAGTAACAGTGATTGCCAGTTAACACGTGTTTTGCATATTCTAATTCCAGATTGTCACACATTTTCTGGAAACTGTTGTCATCGTTCCTACACAATTCCCCAACTCAATTCCAACACTCCATAGTTATACACAACACGCCTCTATCAATAAGAGCTATTCAAATTGCTGGCTCCTCTTGGTTAAGCTTTTTTTAAGTCAGAGATATTTCTCTTTCGTTTTCTCTCGTCTTGTCGGCATTAAAATCAACCATCATTGTTACATAATACAACCTTCTCATCTAACTCATTTTATTATAAAATTTGTTACTGGATTCATTTGAACATGTATCTAATTACATTCAACAGTATAAAACTAATATTTATACAACTTTAAACGGGAATGATATATGCAAGGACAAACATCTGTCAATAATTTGTTCTTTTTGCGGTTCTTTAATTAAATCACCTATAATGAAATTCATTTTTAACAACAAAATGAAAATTATATTAAAAGAGATACCTCAAACCTTACATTAAATAATATGTCACCACCATCATGGCAATGCCTATAGTTATGATGGTGATGTAGTGAAGATGTAATGGAGGTGAAGTTGATGAAGATAACAATACTCATAAAAAATTATAATAATAAAAATAAGTGATAATTTTATTTGTAACCTTTTTTAATATAAATAATTTATTTTAATTTAAGAGTTGTTAAGTATTCTCATATATTCATATTAATAAATGCTTTCAGTTGGATTCCCTTATATATTATTTATTTTATTCGTTAAAGGATCTAACTAATTACAAATTACGATCATTTTCCTATAAATAAATAATTCTATTATATTTTTTTACTTTTCAATATCAATTCTTATATATTAAATATAAACATCGTTTTATCTTATACGAGAACCTTTTTGGAGACGATGAGCGTATTTTTATAGATTTTTTAATTTTTATATAATTCAATTTTTATTTACGATATTTATCTGTAATTAAATTTCAATATTATTAATATAAATTTAATGAGAAAATTATTAATGTTTTTTTTAATTTTTTTTATTTAATTCAATTTTTATTTATCATATTTATCTATAAATTAAATTTTAATAATTTTAAAATGAATTAATTATTTAAAAAAATACGTCGATATAAATTACTTATTATAAATTTAAAATATAATTTATATAATTAAACTATTTATTTATATAAATTTTAAATATAATTTATATATTCAAATATTGTATGTATATATATAATTTATTATAATAAACGTCTACATACTTAAAATATTAGTTAGCAAGTGTGGTACCGAAAATTAAAAATGAAAGTGATAACTTTATATTTTTTTATCTTGAGATATTCTGTAATTTCTTCCTACGTAAAGATATAACTGAAATCAATAATATAGATTTGTTTGGATTTTCTTAGATCCAAATTTTAAACAGAAGATAGGTGTACGTATAGTTGCACAGATACAAAGTTAAGATGGAAAAAATTTAACCTTGATAATGTGTATTGATATATACTGATTAATTAGTAAAGTAATGATAAAAAAATGAATTAATGAAGTCTTAAAAAAAAGGATTATTGATTGAAAAGAATTTTATAAGTGGGGACTGGGGATGGTAGTTGGTTAGTGAAGGCTGAAGGGTAGAACAGGAATTAGGAAAAGTGAAGAAATTTGTATATAAAGCGTAGTGGGGATGGTAGTTGGTTGGCGTTGTTAATTGTTTCCCACAGCAATGGAGCAACCGCCGTCGCCGCCGCCACGCACCATCCTCGGAAAGTACCAGCTCACGCGCTTCCTCGGCCGCGGGAACTTCGCCAAGGTGTACCAGGCGCACTCGCTGCTCGACGGCGCCACGGTCGCGGTAAAAGCCATCGACAAGTCCAAGACGGTCGACGCCGCCATGGAGCCCCGCATCGTGCGCGAGATTGACGCCATGCGCCGCCTCCAGCACCACCCTAACATCCTCAAAATCCACGAAGTCCTTGCCACCAAGACCAAGATCTACCTCATCGTGGACTTCGCCGGCGGCGGCGACCTCTGCTCCAAGCCCCCCCGCCGCGGCCGCCTCCCGGAGTCCCTCGCGCGCCGCTACTTCGCGCAGCTCGTCTCGGCGCTCCGCTTCTGCCACCGCCACGGCGTCGCTCACCGCGACCTCAAGCCGCAGAACCTCCTCCTGGACGCCGGCGGCGACCTCAAGGTGTCGGACTTCGGGCTCTCGGCGCTCCCGGAGCACCTCCAGGACGGGCTCCTCCACACCGCCTGCGGCACGCCGGCCTACACGGCGCCGGAGATCCTCCGGCGCGTGGGGTACGACGGGTCGAAGGCGGACGCGTGGTCCTGCGGCGTTATCCTCTACGTCCTCCTGGCGGGCCACCTCCCCTTCGACGACTCGAACATTCCCGCCATGTGCCGGCGCATTTCCCGGCGCGACTTCCAGTTCCCTCCCTGGATCTCGAGAGCCGCGCGGAGCCTCATCTACCAATTGCTGGACCCAAACCCTAAAACCCGAATTAAACTAGAAAACGTGTTCGACAACGCGTGGTTTAAGAACAAGAATTCGGCACGTGTGAACGCGGAAGAGAGTGTTTTCGAGAGTGACTTGTATAACAAGTGCTGCGACGGTTATAAGTTGGGGATGAACGCTTTTGACATAATCTCCATGTCCTCGGGGTTGGACTTGCGGGGGCTGTTTGAAACGACGTCGGATAAGGGGAGGCGGTGGGAGAAACGCTTCACTTCCGATAAGAGCGTGGAGGCCGTGGAGGCGAAGGTGAAGGAGGTTGGGTTGAATTTGGGGTTTAGGGTTGAGGTTGGGAAGAACGGTGCGATTGGGTTGGGGAAGGGGAAGGTCGCTTTGGTGGTTGAGGTGTTTGAGATTGTGCCTCAGCTGTTGCTTGTGGCTGTTAAAGTGGTCGATGGTGGGGTAGAGTTTGAGGACCTTCATTGGGATGATTGGAGAATTGGCCTCCAAGATGTTGTTCTCTCTTGGCATCATAATCATGACAATTTGGTAACCCTGTCTCACTAGAAGTCGTAGCTGCTGTTGCTTGCTTTGTAATTTTTTTTTATTAGATTATTACAAGACAGGGTAATGTACAGGACAAAAGTTGTGCTACTCCTAGTGTAGTGTTTCTGTCACGGTTCCTCTTTTCAATGAATAACACAATTTTATGTCATCTTTACTTTTTGTTGAAATCTGTATATACAAGTGAACAAGTATTTTAGTAAATCAGGGTAATGAAGATCTCAAATTTATTAAAGGAGATGACTTGTCTTTTCGAATGTTTTCCATATATGAAAACAAGAGAAGGCACATAACAAATCTGATGATTCGCTAACAATGAAAAAAGAAAAAGTAAAGTTTATGACTTGTATTGGCTTCTTGTCTGTCATAAATTTAGTTGGGTTCCAGAATTACATGAGTTGTAATAATTTTTGCGTGGGAACTGAATAATGGTTTAAGACGGGTTCTACCGTGGAGAGTGTCTCATCATCTCATGTCTCTCACGGTGGGAAATAATTTTTTTTCTGTATGTTGTACTCTTTAAATAGATGGTTGAAAATTTTCATCTTTTTTTCTGTTTCTCAATTTGTCCTGAAATCCTAACCTCAGCTTCTCTCTCAGTACCGCTCTCTCTATAACCCACAAGGCTCTCTCCATTCCACTCGTTGCTTTGCTCGTTGCCGTGTTGTTGCCGTCTCTTTCTAACTCAAGGCTTTCCCCACTCCACTCGTTGCTTTGCTCGTTGCCGCCTAGTGTTATTACTAGGATTTTAGAATGTTTATGCAGAGTGTTGGTCAGAAAATTATCAGGGATAAAACGTGTTTTTTTCTCAAAGAATGTGAGGTGCATCAAAAGTAACATACTAGTCAGACTTTTAGTCATACTTTTGGATTTCAATCCACGGGAGACTTGGAGAACTATTCGGCTTTTCCAATTCTCCACCACAGAATATTTAGAGAAACTTGCAACTTTATCATGACTAGAGTAAACACCACATTATCAAATTGGAAAGGTTATAAATTTTTTATCCGAAGATTTACTTTGGTCAAATCAATTTTGCAGACTTTATGTTTTTATACTATGCAATTTAATAAATTATCTTCATCTATTTGTGATGAGATAGATAAGAAATGTAGAAGTTTTCTGTGGAGAATTTAGAAATGAGCAGAAAGATTCACATCGTAGTGTGGAGTAATGTGTGTAAGTCAAGATATGTTGGAGGATTGGGGTTGAGATCGTCTCGAGTGACCAATCAAGCCTTTCTCATAAAGTGTGGATGAGAGTTATGGATGCGATGCCATGTTCTATGGGTACAAGTTATAAGAGCCAAGTATCAATGTGGGGACTTCATAATTCCTTCAGTTAATTTGAATTGGATGGGTTCAAACTTCTAAAAGGGATTCTATAATTACTGGTGCCAAATTAAACAAGGTATTACTTCGAGTATTAGTAATGGAGAACTGGTGAAATTCTAGAATGACGAGTGGATTCTAAAGTTGGGGAGATTGATTGAACAAGCAACAAAAGTCATTTTCCACCTTCGCATTAGTCTTAAGGTGAAAGATTTGGTTATGGAAATAACTAAATAGAATTTCCTACTTTTAATATGTTGGAAGAGCATGTTTTAAATTGTATCCATGCAATCCTTCCTCTAAATGAACTAAGTCCATGTGTTATCCTACAAAGAAACTTCAACAAGTGATTTCTCCATTTCTTTAGCATATGCACAACTGATAGTTGGCTTTGATTTAAAAAATGAAAGTAATTCGTTGTTTGTGACAATTTGGTCTTGACCCGAGCTTAAACGGATCCACACTTTGTTATGGAAAATTGCAAATCCTACCTTATTGACTAATGCAATTAGATATGGTAAACATTTAACAGAGGATCAATCTTGTTTGCATTGTGAACATTGCATTGAAGATGTGGATCATGTTATGCACTTTTGTCCCCCTTTTAAAGCAGTCTGGTATGTTACTCTCCAAAAAACAACATTCTTGGTTTTTTGACCTAGATTTTTTGTCATGGCTGCTTGCTAATTTAAGCAAGCCTTCTAGTACAAATAATAGAGGATGAAACACTTTTTTTGAAGTGGCTTTGGATGTGTTTTGGAAATGTAAGAATGAGTTTGTCTTTCTAGATAATACCTCACGGCCTACAAAATTAAAATTTTGCATTCTTGGAGGTGAATTGTCTATTAGGTCAAGTTACTTGCGTATTGAGGACACATCCAAAGCTATTCAATGTCACTTGTTGAATTATGGGTAATTCATGTTGGTACACCTATTGCTTGGAATAAAGGGTCTAGAAAACTTTCTAGTGGAATCAAATTCAGTTGTTGTGGTGACTTTGTTGAAGGAAGGATGTGCTCCCTATCATCTTTTTTTTTTTTCGATTGGTGCAAAACATTATTTATTTCAACATGGCAGGTAGAGGATTATTTGATCTCATGTGTTGCGTGAAGCAAATTAGATAACTTGTAATATGATCAATTTTGGTTTGATTCTAGAGGATAATATTTGTGTGTTTGATAATATCAAATATTTTTTTGTTTTGTTTATAAGAATTGGTGTTGCTCATAATTTGTACCCTTGTGATTTTAATTGATTGCGTTGAAGTGTTTTTTACCCCCTTCAATTCACCAAAAAAATAAAAATAGATTCACATTAGATAAGGAATTAAAAAAAATTGACTCAAGAAATAATGTTATATTTAATATATTGTTCAAGTTATTATCATAAAAGTTAAGTGGTTTAAAGTCATATTTCTTATAAAGTCATATTTGATCATTTTTTAAATAAATTTTATATTTCTTTGTCATGTTAATGTCACATTGCTAGTTAGTATTATTCTTATAATATTATCTCATCAATCCATGGGACTTGCCATGTCATTATCAAAATGACATGTTATCAATTCATTTAAATATTAACACGGTATCACAATTTAATTGAAAAGTGTACTAAAATTTTGTGATTTTAAAAACTGAAAGATCAAAATTAAATAATTAAAAATAGAGAAATCAAAATTATAGATTAAAAATTATAGAAAGATTAAAAGGATAATTTAACTTTTATTTTATTTTTTAAAATTCAAGATAAATAATTATCGTTATAATTTTCTTCATTGACATATTTATTTAATTTATTCTACTATTATATTTTAAAAAATATTAATTATTTTTAGTATGAAAAGCATTTATATATAATGTGTTATTTTTATCAACCATTTTATGAAAGTTTTAGTAAAAAAGTACCTATATATAATATTTAACTATTAAGATATAAATTTATAAAAGTTATGATTTTATTTAATCTTTGTTGCTTAATTATTAAACTTTATTACTCAGTTAACAATATTAAATAAAAACGCAAACAACCTGTTGAAATAAGAATTTGGATCCTCTCCTACAATCCTCTCTCTAGCAATAATAATAATCATTAGATATATCTAATGGTTCAAATTTAATCTTATAAAAATCATTTAAAAAATTACATTAATTTTAATATTACAAAATTAATCAAAATTATTATAATATTATTTAAAAAATATTAATTTTGTAATAATATTTTTGGCCATGCAATAATAAAAAATATTTAAGAAATATATGCAATTATATTGATAATAGTTAACATTTATTTTAAATTTTTATAAGATTGATAAAATAAATGTTAACTATTATCAATATAATTGCATATATTTCTTAAATATTTTTTATTATTGCATGGCCAAAAATATTATTACAAAATTAATATTTTTTAAATAATATTATAATAATTTTGATTAATTTTGTAATATAATTAATGTAATTTTTTAAATAATTTTTATAAAATTAAATTTAAATTATTAGATATATCTAATGATTATTATTGTTGCCGAAGAGAAGGTGGAAAGAGAAGATTGCATGAGAGCATCTAGATCCGTGCATAAACAGAAAAGGACAAAAAAAAAAAAAGGGTGATTGATCATAAATGATGAGCGAAACATCATGAGAAGCACCTATGTTGGCCAATAGATTCGCACAATTGTTTCTTTCTCTCAATGCATGCTTCACGGGAACATCTCAATTTCTACCAAAGAGATCTCGAATGGACGAAATGATAGTGTGGTAAGCATGTGTCATTAGTGGAAGATAAGAAACAAGTTGAAAGGCATAGGATGAGTCTGTGTAGCAGATAATTTTACAGAATCTTCGATCACAGGCAAACTCCAGACCCTAAAACCCATTATGGATATGATTAGTACCTCAGGGAAACTTGAAAACTTATATTGATGTTTACTTTTCTTTTTATGTTAAAGATTTTTTTATTTAACAAATAATGAATCCTTTTACTTGATGGACTGTTTTAAATACCTTTTAATTAAATGAATTTAATAAAAATATTTATTGATTATATTTTAGGGTAGAAAAGTATCATAATAAGACTAATTAAAAGAAAATAAGATACTCGATATAAAATATTTATCTATTAAAAATATTTATTTATTTATTATATTTTAGGGTAGAAAAGTATCATAATAATGATAATATAAAAAAAAAGTGATTTGTTATTCATACTAATGACCCTAAGAAAATAAGGAAATAAATCATGATACTATTAAAAAAAGTAGAAAAGCTAATCCTATGGGATAATTGGTCTATTTGTTTAAACTTTTTTCTTCTTATAAATTATTTTTCAAATGAAATAAGCATTTTTTTAATTATTTATGTGTTTATCTAAAATTATTTTTAAAAAAGTAATTTTCTATTTTTTTAAAAACAATTCTTACCTATTTCTGAAGAATTGTTTTCTTAAAAAAATATTTGTTTTAATTTTTTTTTTAAATTTAAACAACTAGATCTAAAATATAATGTAAAATATTATAGTCAAAATACTATACAATATATTAGAACATAACTCTCAACTTAATCCATTAGTGCATAACATAACTCAGTTCATATTTATTTTATTATATAAAAATATATCTTATTTATTTTAAAAGTCAAATTAATAAATTAATTAAGTTCATCAAATAAATATTATTATAAAAATCAAGATGTTACATGTGATGTGAGGGTTGCATAATAAGCATGAGAATGAAATCATAGATTCTGACGCTAAGAAAAAAAAAAAAGAGCCTCTCTCTAAAAGAACCTTATTAATCTTAAAAGGAATTGCTTAGTTGTTATAATTTTTATTTTTTAATTCTGTTTAAATAAAGTTTTCCATAAACAATTTTTTTATTCTGACTACTAGGGTTAGTCTAGTGATTAGGTAAGGAAGGGTTGGAGTACTAATTAAAAACATGAAGACCTAGATTCAATTCTCATTGCGACCATCTTTGTAATCTTTTCTATCTTTACTTAAAAAAAAAAAAAAACAATTTTTTTATTCAACATTAGATGCGTTAATTTATTGAATTCCATTCACAGCGCTTTGGATGCTGTCGGAGTATTTCGAGGGAAGAGTTATTGATCACTTTCTATTCTACTGTATCTAGAAAATAAATATTTGGATAAATTTATTATTTACATGAATTTATAACTGTTCTCTCGTCTTTATATTTTTAGACTATTTTTATTTTAAATAATACAAATATTAAAAATTAACTACGAGTAACAAATATGTTAATTATCTTTAACTACTCAAATTCTTAAACAATTTTATAATTTAACCTTAATTTTTATTTCATTTTGAAATATTTAAATAAAGCATAGAGACAAGTATTTTAATCTCACTAATAATTTATAAACAAAAAAAAAAAATTCAAATATAAGCGATCATGATTTTACGTCTACGATAAAATTAATTTCACGATATATATTTAATTGTGTTTGATTTTAATATATTATAAATATAGCCTTTTTACACTGTAACATTTTTTTAGGACATTCTACACTGTAACATGATCATGTGTTAATCATTTATCTTCATTTACTGATATTGATTATATTACAGGGTCAAACTCGTGAAAACTAATATATAACCTTACTATATTAATAAATGTATGCAGTTACGTTAAATTCCCATAATATATCATAAAACTTGTAAAATTCAATATTAAAACTACGATCAAATCTAGCTACCAATAAAAAAAGAGAGTGAATGCATATAAATTACAGCTCAATACCAAAGGAAACAATTAGGATCCAAAATCTAATGGGCAAAAACCACATGAACTAAAATGTTATCCAAACCTATAACTCCTGATAGAAAATAATGGTACAAAAGGTTCGGATATACAGACTAACTATGTAATGTTATTTTTCTATCCTGTCCTAAAACCAACAAATTTTTTTCCCCATTAAACAAGGGTCACTAGTCTCTGCTCAAATTTCTCCAGTTTGGATGATCTCGTCAGATTATTCACAATATGTGAAGACAGGAAACTTTTGTAGCCTGACCATGATTTTCCTACCCTGTAATAGGTCTGTTCCCTTTTTTAAGGGATTTGTAACCATGAGCTTAAATCATCTGATCTGAAGACCCTTACACCCCATCTCCACTAGTAGCTATTTTACAATTCAATGTATTGGCACATCATTAGTTGACTTTAACAATGAACCTGGTAATTTAAAGTTGTAACAAGTAATTAGATAATAGAGTAAAAGATGTTTATACTACCATTGAATCAAAATTAATCTCATTATTATAGATCTTTGACCAAATGAATTTAGTGATGCTACCTTGGAAGTTGAAAGCATCCACCTATAACCAATCCAGATCAAGAGGATCAGAATCAGTTCTTGACAGCCTCTCTGATGTGGGGATACCGATGAGCCCATCGAGAGAAGCCTGCACAATTTGAGTAAGAATATGAAACTACCTCAAAAAGCCTTTAGTGCTCCAATGACTAGCATAAAGTAAACATAATCACCCGAAGATATAATCTCAGAAAGATCCATATCCGCTTTAGAATCCTGCAACAGAATATAACAAATAACCAGGTATTAATTATAGCATTAAAATAAAAAAATCTAGTTCACTGCTAAGTCTTAACATCAAATGCATGGCTTCAGTAGAGTTCAAGAAATAATTAAAAACCAGATTTGGATGCAAGGGGGCAATAAGCTTTCTTTAAGGCCAATCCTGGTTTAGGAATGGAGTAAATTTGACTGAACAAAATAGTAAGTATCAAAACCAATGCGTGATCAGAAGTATATGTATACTGTATGTGGTGTTCACATTTAACCTCTTTCAAACATTTTTCATAAATAATACTACCTTTGGTCCTAATTACAAGTAACATAAGACCAATCAAGATCAAAAAAAGTAATTAATATGGTTACTTTTAAATAATTCTACCATAAATTCAAGTTTTATTCCAAATAAACTCTTTACTTTAAGTGGTTGTCATATTTAATATTAGTTGTAAATGAATGTATATGAAATAAAGTTAACAATAAATGAAAGGTATAAAAGAAATTTAACCCTGAGTAACTTTAAAAATTAATGAATGTTACTTATAATTAGGACAAAAGAAAAAATTAATTTGTTGCTAGGACCACAGGTAATATGATTTAGTAGATGAGATGCAAGACCTGGAGATCAAGTTCAACAAAACAGAAACTTGTCAAGAAATCCGAGGCCAACAATGTTTGATATCTTGAATCAGTGTTGGAACAAGATATGGAAAATCTTATTGTCTTAATTAGTGACTCCAAATAGTAGATATGTTAATACTTCAGAATTATGTACAATCCTTCTTTATTTTGATGCACGAAGTAATGTTGTGGCTGCACTAAATTCGACAGGAAAAAAATTTAAGCAGTGAAAGGTGGACTCATGCAAACAGGTCAGCAATTTTTACATTTCTAATGAAAACATTAGGTCACAATCACATTAAGTGCGTTTGATGTGATGAAACAATAAAGAGAGAAAGAGAGATAAAGGATCTTCAATAGCTAAAGGATCATGTCACCAAAGATTGCTGCAAAACCATTATCCTATTTGGAGTGACTGAAAAATCACACTACGACTACATAAAGATAAATATAGTAGAAAAACGTTGATGTTGGGATAGTGAGATAACAAATCAATTATTTTAAGAAATATTACTTTTATAGACAACAAATACAAAAGGGAAGGGATACTATTGAAGCTAAAATTAATCATTTATGGCTGATTCCTACGAATCATGTGCAACTGCAACAGTATCTTCTGAATCAACAAAACAACTTGGACCAAATTTATTTTACATATTACTTTACGAATAGTAATGAAAGGGAATTTACAATTCACCTGTTCTGATGAAGCCAGACATCTTCCAATGAGCTTATAAAGACTGCTAAGAGTTCTATAGTTGAAATCAGGACGGTTTAAAAGAGCCTCTTCTGATGTATAATCAAATATCAGTGCGCAAATGCTTGAAGCCATCATCAAACATGACATTTCATCAGTATTTTCTACAAACAACATTTCAGTAACTAAGTTAAGATACATGTGTTATTCCATACTGGCAATTCAATAAATAAAGTAATAAGCAAATAAACATTAAAAATTAATGTTGATGATACTTCCCAGAGTTAAAATCAACAGTATAAGGATCAGTTAACAACATCCATAAAACTTCCATTGTTAAATGTTTCTAAGCATAGTAGAAGCATTTAATCCCATCTACCAGGATTTTTCAAATTTTGAAACTCATAATTTTTTCATGGGGCCTGATCACGCATGATAATCACTGGACGAAGCATATTCACATGAAATACCAAGATGAAGGTTTTTCCAAATCCCAATCTTCAATAATGTCTGCAAGATTACTTCCCTCTTTCCTTTCAATATTTGATTATAGTATCTTAGCAATGATTGAACAATTCCCTTATCATGCTTTCACCTTTCAAGACTCAATTTCATGTTTTTCTTTGTGAGATTTAATTGTAAAAAATTATCTTCACTCTCACTCATTGATGACACCATACTAGGTTTTGATAACAAGAGTTTCACTTATTCTTTATTCCATATAACCCAAAACAAAACATAGATAAAATATTAAACAATATGGGATTAACTTATTGCTACTACACAAATTAATAGCAAAGATTCACTTGGTTATAAATTAGGGGCGTAAGCAGGTTCGAGTTCAGTTGACTTGACTCACATACCTGGCCAACCACAAAACTTCACATACACTCACAACTCCGGGTAAATTCTCATGGATGATGTTCATATGCACTTTCTACACAATTCTGACCCTAATGCTATTTCTGGCACATGTTCACTAAAAGCTAAACTGAAATCTTCCAGTAAACTACAAGGTACTAAGGTAGTCCAACCTGACAAACATAAACCACTTGCTTTTATAGATGCATGCTAATACAGTTGCACCAGGGCACCTGTTACTAATTAAACATGCATATGCAAACAAGTAGATGAACAAGAAAGGAATAGGTCATGTAATGATGCAAAATGAAAAACACTCATTTTAATGGCTGTTAAATAGTACCATACCTGACCAATAAGCCAACGTTTTAAGAAGACCAACAATGGCTAATTCATCCAACATTATCTGCACTTTGTCTTTCTACAGTATAAAAGATGCAACTTATGTCACGATTTTGCACAACCAATATAGTATAATAAGGCTGGTTTATGATAAGAACATCACCTTTAATAGAAGATTCATTATTGTATCACATGCCAAAAAGATGCAACCGTTATCTTCAACCAGAAAAGCATGTGACCCAACTAATTTACTGAAGCAATCTGAAACCTACAAATGTATCCAATATATTTAGTAAAAAAAAAATTTTCTTTGCTAATAATGTTATTAAAGGATGTCATTGCAACACATTACACATGTAAAAGACAAAGCTACAATATTAAATTGAACTAAACATCAATCAAGCAATCATTAGAATTTGTTGATTTACATGCATAGATCCACCTTTAGGTTAATGCAGTTATAAATCAACAGAAAAGGGAGTGGGGAAAGATGAAGTGTAAAATAAAAAATATAAGAATTTGAGCCAGAAAATAACTTACGGCTTCAAGTCCTTTGCACGAAGCCAAAGTTTTGCATCCTTCAATCTCCATAGTAATTTGACACAACATAGGTAGCAGAAAGCAAACAGCAGAGAAGGGCCTGGAACACAATTAAATTAAGCAAAAGCTATTCATACTCCAAAATACACCTTACTCCCACAAAACAAAAGAATTTGTTAGCAATAATTATCTATTCAAGATACCTCTGTTCATCTTCACCTTCAACAGAAAGCATATACCCTAAAAGATCTTGAACCTTCTCCTTGCATGCTACAGGCGCTTCTGCAAGATAACTGAAAAAAAAAAAAAAAAGAAGCTCATACTCTTTCCCCCTTAGACTACAGTTGCTTTAAAAAAAAAGATAAAAACTTGCAATCTCCTACCATATTATATGCAGCAAATATAAGAGAATGTTATCACAAAACTATAGTTTTTCAAATTGATAATGATATATGTTACAGATATTGTGAATATATTATAGATATTGTGGATACATATATTATGGCTATTATCCTCACTATCAATTAGGGATATGATTAGATTAGTTTCCATAATATTAGAGATTAGTATCTCTATTATTTATTGTATTCACTCTATAAATAAGATTGGTATGTGTACAACAATACACACAATTCCTGAATTACAACATGGTATCTAGAGCTTAGGTTTTTCTTTTAGAATATATTTTTCTCTCTTCTTGCAAAGGCCCTTGCTGCCACCTCCGGCTGCCGCCGGCCG